TGCTCAAAGCTGGACATATGAAAGAACTCCTTGCAGAGTTGTCTTCCCATTCAAGTCCATACCTTCACAGACTGCTGCCTAGCCACAAGTCACCTACTGAAGTGTCACCTTTAACAGTAACTGCTTCTGGACTGTTTTCTTCTTGTCATGATGTTGTTGTATAGAAGAGTTGGAACTTTTCACTGCTAACCTCCTTCCAGTACGTTTTCCGAGGAAGTAAATTGTGTAAAAAGAGTTGTTCATCTTTCTTGCTGTGAGGAGTTGGTGGGTTCATCCCAAATGCCTTTGGGATGGCAGCAAAACTCCTCACCACTAAGCCACCAGAGCTCTCATCTAGCTATAGTAGTTATAAATTTTTAGTTATTCAAGCATTTTCAAGTGAATTATTTGATAGATCTCTAAAATTATTACTATATATCAAATTATACTAATATGCTATCCTTTTGAAAGTTTCTAAAGTCCATTATTCCGTCAGAGTAATCAATTCAATGATGTGATGAGAAAAAGATGTGACATTTGGCTTCTGTTAAAAACAATCCAACACTTTAAAAAACGCTCCAAAATAACCCCTACAGCTTTGGAAACTTTATGGAGCAGTTGTAATGTTTGACAGGCTTGATGAGTTGGAATTGACACAACAGAAACGGAGGCTGAGACAATATCTATCTTGTTGCTGTTAGAAAGAAATAGAAATATGGACCCAATTTTCTTTAGTTAGATGTTACATATAAAGGAAAACATGCCTTTGTATGGTATTACTATACTGGAGAAGTATTTTCAAACGAAGAGTAAATTAACTAAATTATCACAATGACTCTAAAAGAAAAATGAATGATTAATCTGTTTTCTGTGCATTATTTTACTCAATAATTTGATGAATAATAAATTAAGTCTTTTTTGCAATGGATATTTTTAGGAATATCATAAAGTTCAAAGAAGAAAGCTGTTTAAAACTATCTAGTTTCTTTTTGGAATCTGATCTGTAATATATATTCATTCACCTTTACCAGTTTCTATGTTTTTATTTTAAATAGGATATAATGAGCAGTGCAATATACAACTCTAGAGCTCCTTGTTGTTGTTGTTTTTGTTGATGTTGTTGGGTGTTCTTCAGTCCCATGCAAATCATAGGGTCCCTATGAACAACAATTATGAAACCTATCCTATTCTGAGCCATCTTTATCATCCCTGACACACTTGAGCACAGTGCTCAGTCACTGTTTAAATCCATTTCTCTGAATGCCTCTTCTCTGACAGAAGATACTGAAATATCAACATTTAGGATGAAGAAAAAAAATTCTGAACTATCTTTCACCAAGTCTGGGTATCTGGGCAAGAGAAGGTACTGAGGAAATTCTTCCACATTTCATTTCTCTGTGTGTTGTTTGTTGTTATGTGCCGTGGAGTCGCTTGCGACTCATAGCGACCCTATGTACAACAGCCCTAAACTCCGTTCTGTCCTGTGCCAATCGCACTGTCTCTGACACTCCCATCCCAATTATCCCAGTCATTGAATCAATCCATCTCATAGAGGGCCTTCCTCTTCTGTGCTGTCCCTCCACCCTCCCAAGCATGATGTCCCTCTCTAAGGACCAGTCTCTCCTCACAACATTTCTCTGTACCTTCCTTAATTAAGACTCTCTAGTGTGGGAAGACAGATGTGGGAATTTCAAACTCCTGTCTCTTATATGCATTCATATATTATAATCTTTCATTTTCCATTCTTACCCATGATAAGTTTTTAAGCAACAGAATGTTGTTTCTCTGGTAACAAACTGTACTTCCCCTCTACATTACCTCTCATTTTTTCCTTTTAATTTATTAATCTGTTTTCAGAAAATAACATTTCCACTATTTACTAGGTTGTGTTTTCACTAATTAGTTGCAGGCTTGTCTAAAAATTATTTCTTCCAAAGTTAGAAAAATAAGTTTCCTCTTTACATTATTTACTTGTAAGTGTGTGTGAAAACGTGTATAAATGCTTGCATTGGTGTCTGTGTCAATGAAATTTGGACTGTGCATGTATGTGTTGCTCTTTAAAAATCCTACTCATGATGCAATGAGGGTTGCAGAGTGGATTATATTTGGGGGTAGGGGGTGGGGTTTGGGGAGGTGCGGGGGGGGATTGTGTACCGATGAGGGAGTTTTTCTCTTGCTTTTCAAGGAGAGGAGCAAACGGGGTGGGTGGGGGTTTGTGCGGGGAGAAGGGTGCAACAATGAATGAATGGAATTCCAAAATCTCTGTAGATGTTCATTGAAATGAAAAATAAACAAACTAAATTTTAAAAAAATCCTACTCATGAATTATTTTTAGAATTATAATATCCTTCTGGAATTCTCATTCATTTTCTCTGACTTCCACTTGTTAATTAGAATATGTGTTATTTGAAAGAATTGTATATAATTAAAACAATAATAGTCACAAAAAAGAAAATACGAAGCCATTTGTTCTAGACCTATTTTTCTTTGATAAGCAAAAAGAACAAAATATTTTTTAAAAGTTCTCTTTTCAACGCATTAAGTAGGAATTGTGTGGTTTATCACATGATTGAAGTATGTGTTTTTAAAAAAATCTGGAAAAGATTTTTTAAAAACTAGAAATTTTCTCAGAAATTCCTAATCTTTTGAGATATGTTCAAAGCAAACTATTTCATAATATAAATTCATGCATCACCTATCTATTGCTTCTCTGGTATTTTGATGGAATCTTGTTTAATATTAAATATAGTCATGTCATTGATGGGGCTTAAGGAGGCTCTTGTCAGCAGGCAAGTCACTCTAATATACTTTCACTTGTTTTCATTATTTGATGATGATGCAGAGAATTTCACTTACTTCAAGCACACTGCCGCGTGGTGTCATTTAATTCCTGATTTAATTTCTGGATGCATTTATTTAGCAATATCTTGATAATCAGAGGTGCTCAATAAGCATTTGCTAGATAGAACAATAATGAATAAAATACACTGCCTAAATAGAGTGTTATTCAACATGGCACATTATTAATAATTACACTGGAATTCTTAAAAATGGCTGATGCAGAAACAAATATAAACTTTTTATTCATTGGTAAGCCTAGGACAAAGAATAGCTGGAACATGTAGTTCATGATTTATTCATGCATACTAGTAGGAGATTTATAGACTCCAATGACCTGCTCAAACTCCAGTTCTTTCTTAGGCCAGTCTGTCATCATGATTAGCTATGTTGTTACTTTATATCAAATATCAGGTATATCTATGCTGAAATAGTAAAAATAAAGAAGATAGAGGCAAAAAATTAATACATATGTCATAGTTTCAGCTACTAAATAGTTATACAGATGCTGGTGTATGTAAAAAAAAGTAGACAAACTCATGCACACAAAAGTAAATAATTCTTCTTTATTATTGAGGCTTAATGAACTAATAGAGAGAAAATAGTGAGACTGGATATTGAAAATAATTATCTCGTTCTTTTGGATATTACTGTCTTATGAAAGCATTAATCCAGTCAGACTTTTTACTCTGGGGAAATCTAGCACATTTTTTTCCATGGGGTCAAACATAATCAAAACAATTAGCTACTTTAGCTGATTATTTGGATTCAATCTTTTATCAACTGGTTAGAGACTGCACCTTATTAGGACTGCAATGTCTGCACCCATGTGATCATCCTGTTGAATGATGAGAAGTCTGATATCTTGTTGAGTGTCTCTATGACCATGGGAATGCTTTGAAAGTGGAGCTCACTCCTGGATTTTCCAATGAGTTCTTTATAAATCATCTGTTGTCCATGTTGACATAATACAAATGGCAAAATAAGAGACATAGGGAAAGAACAATCCCCACCCTTTTATCTCCTCAGCTTGAGTTCCTAAAGGCAGATATGGGGGGTTAATTTTGAACTGATGTCAAAGTAAAAATAATGCTAGAAATTACATAAAAGCTAAGATGAAGGAAAGATCATGAATCTTTTTGTCCTGACAAAGGATATATAAGTTTTATAGAGTTCTACTACTAAATATACACCATTTCTTCCAAACCTAGGCCAGAGATCCCCACTGTGGTAGCAAGTCCTTGTGACTTTAGGATGGCTCCTGGAGCTAAGGCAGGAGGTCCATTGCAAAATCATAACAATAAGATGGAGGTCTTTAAACTGTCTTCTAAACTGACAAGAGAGACAGTGATTTAGAGGGGGGAAAAGTTATAATCGTCCATGCTTCAAGATTGAGAATCATTAATTTAATAACTGCATCATATGAGCAGAATAAATAAAAAAGAAAGGGATGTAGAGATCACTGAAGCATAATAATTGCAAGAAAAACAAATCACCAGGACAGTGCTGGAATAAAAAAGCTCAATTGGAAAGGGTTTTCTCTAATGCTAACTTGATTCTTCTACTAAGCCTTAAAGCCCCAGTGTCTACAATTGCACTGTTTAACTCCATTTGCTTTTATTTTTGGTAATTAGGTGTTATGTCTAGAAAAACTCAATTAAACACCTCATGGCCCCTACAGACAAATTCCCACAAGGAATCCTCTACTGTGACTATAACCTGATTATGATTTCATTTGAACACCTTGTGGAAAGTGTTTCATCAACAGAGGTGTTAAAACATTTAAATTAATAAAGGAAGTCAGAATCAAAACTAAATGCAGTTTCTCTGAATGCAGTTACAGTGTCTGGGGCATGGATTAATAGCTGAGAGGAGATTCTAGAATTGATTGCTTTATTCTGTCTCAGTCTGTGGGATCAGAGCCTTAGGATCACTTCTACGTTTCCCTGGTTAATCACCTACTTGTACCAGGAAATATACCTAGATTCCACACCATACATATATAATGTGAATAAACCATTCCTTCCATTGCATGAGTATATATAAAAATAAAGGGGGTTCTACCCCCCGCCCCTTGTGTCCTGTATATGCCATTGATCCATCAAGCCATACTCATCCCACATACTCCATCCTCCAACCATGACAGGCTGGCTCCCTCCACTGCTGTGGCTACAGCATCTTACCGGCAGTGTTTATGGGATCCAGTGAGGGTCTCGATTACAAAGCACTCGCCATCATTGAGGCAGTAGGCAAGGTCCTTATCTCGGCAGGGTTTGAAGTGTTCTGAGCGCTCCGTGGAATAGGTCGTCATATCTGTCAAGTAAAGCACAGATGAAGGCTCTCAGCAGGGTATACGGATACCAACAACACCAGGAAGGTGCATGGGAGCCTATGCCTGAGGAGCTCTTATCACTAGCATTGGGGTTCAGTGCTTGTCTTTGTGGGGACTTGAGTTAGACTAAACCATGGATCTCACATGGTACTGAACAAGTATCTAGATCGACCATTGCATTTGATCATCTTCTGTTTCCACTAGTACTGAACAACTGAAGTTTCTTTAGAGTAATCTCTTAGGACATGTTGTTGTTATATGTCATTTAGTTGCTTTAATCCTATGTACAACAGAGCTGAAAACTGCTCTATCCTGTGCCAACTTGACTGTCTCTGAAAAAACTACCCTCATTAGCCCGGTCACTGTGTCAGTCCATCTCATCGAAGGTCTCCCTCTCTTTTACCATCTCTCCACTCTTCCAGACATGTTGTCCCTCTCCAAGAACTGGTCCCTCTTTGCAACATGCCCAAAGTATGTCAGACGAAGCCTCAGGATCCTTGCCTCCAAGGGGCAGCCTGGCTTCATCCTTTCTATGATGAACCTGTTTGTTCTCCTGGCACAAGATGCTGCAACCAAACCCACCAAACCTCCATTAGTGGTTTCAGTTTAAAAAGCACTCTGTGCAAAAGGTGCAAGAAACAGTCTTTTTTCATTCATTTTTACCAAATGGTGTTGGATTGGGGAGGAGAGTGAAGGAATAGGAAAGATTCAATAAGAAATTGAAAATATAGTCAAATAATAGGCCTATATAAATGGTAATTAATTATATTAAATATAATATATGTAAAATATTGTATGAAACATATTGTAAATGAAAGATAGTGTAAAACACATTGTAGCTCTTTTTCCTGAGGGTCGCCGTCAGGGCATCATGACTGAGGGAAACCTAAGAATTTAAGGCCAACGTGAGCCACAGCCATGGCCACATCAGAAAGTACCAGAAGCACCCTGGAGGCTAAAATAATTCTAATGGTTTGCGTCAAATCAGGATCAACTTGGACAAGTATAATCCTGTTATTTTGGAAAGGCTGGCATGAGACATTACCAACTGAAGAGCTTCTGCCCAAATGTCAACCTTGGCAAATTATGGACCTTGGTCAGTGAGCTGACAAGGGAAATGCTGCCAAAAATGAGACTGAAGCAGCTCCCATCGTTGATGTAGTTTAATCAGATTACTTCGAAGTTTAGAAAGAGGGAAAGTGCCCCAAGCAAACCAGTACTTGTGAAGGCCAACTTCTTCAGCAGAGGAGACGAGGGGAAGTTTAAACTCACTGCAGGGCCCATGTCTGGCTGGCTTAAAGTGGAATTAATTGATTGGAGGATGGTTAATTAAATGTTTTTCCTTTATAGTCTGAGTATAGGTTCTTTGGTGGCACCTGTACCTGCTTCACTACATATGCAGCTGATGTTGAGCAGCATCAGGACCTCTTCTAAGTATGGGGGCCTGTGCTTCCCTGCTGAGACGCATACTGCAATAGCACTTCAAAGTCTTTAGGCATTATCTAATGAAAGACTTGATTTATAAAGTGGAAAATATTTCCACAATGTATATGAATAAAACAATTTTTAAAAATCAAATGAATATATTTTGTGATTGTTCTATAGAAACAAATGTCAATTTCTGTGGTTTTTTTTGTTTGATTTTTTTTGTTTGTTAATGCTGTAATTAACCAATGCTGTTGTTATGTGGTGTCGAGTTGCCTGTAATTCATAGTGACCCCATGTGCAACAGCCTTAAATACTGCATTATCCCTTGTCAATCTTATTGTCTCCAACACACCTATCCCTAATATCCCAGTGCCTGAATCAATCCATCTCATTGAGGATCTGCCTCTTCTGTGTTGTCCCTCCACCCTCCCAAGCATGACATCCCTCTCCAAGGACTGATCCCATCTTGTAACATGTCCAAAGTATGTCAGATGAAGCTTCAGAATCCTTGCCTCCAAGGAGCAGCCTGGCTTCACCCACTCCAGGACAAACCTGTTTGTTCTCTTAGCAGTCCGTGGTATATTCAACACGCTTCTCCAGCTCCACAGACCAAAGGCATCAATTCTCTTTCTATCATCCCTAGTCACTGTCCAGCTTTCCAATGCATAGCATGCAATTGCGAAGACTATAGCCCGAATCAGGCACAACTTAGTCTCCAGCCTGATGTCATTACTATTCAGTACTCTGGAGAGGTCCCTGATAGCTGGCGTTCCCAGTGCAATTCATCTCTTGATTTCCTGTGGAGCTAAGCAAATTAAAACTGTTAACTAGCTCAATCTCTTCACCATCCATACTGATGCTGCCAATTGGTCCAGTGGTGAGAATCTTTGTCTTCTTGACATTGCGCCTCAATCCATATTGTAGGCTGCAGTCCTTGACACTCTGCAGCAGGCGCTTCAGGTCCTCCTCAGTTTCAGCAAGCAGGGTTGTGTCATCTGCATAATGCAGGTTGTTTATGACTCTTCCACCAACTTGAGGTTTGAATTTGTTCTTCAGGTCTTTGAGCTTAAGATATGCTGAGCGAGTTTGGCCCTTTTGATTTTCCGACTCCAACTCCTTGCACATTTCATTGTAATATTTTGCTTTGTCATCCCGTGCTGCCTTTTGAAATCTTCTATTCAACTCTTTAGTATCTTGAATTCTTCCCTGTGCTTTGGCTTCTCTGCATTCCAGTGCAATTTTCAGAGTCTCTTCTGACATCCATTTTGGTCTTTTCTTCCTCTTCTGTCTTTGCAATGGCCGTTTGCACTCTTCCTGGATGATACCCTTGATATCCTCCCACAACTCATCTGGCCTTCGTTCATTAGTGTTCAAAGCCTCAAATCTGTTCCTGAGATGGTTCTGAAATTCAGGTGGGATAGACTCAAAGTCATATTTTGGTTGCCTTGGATTTGGTTTAATTTTCCTCAAGTTCAGCTTGAATTTGCATATGAGTAGTTGGTGGTCTGTTCCACAATCAGCTCCTGGCCAAAATCTGCTGTCAGGGACCTCTCCAGAGTACTAAGAAGCAACATTATCAGTTTAGAGACTAAGGTGAGCCTGATCCAGGCCATGGTCTTCACAATTACTTGCTATGCATCAGAGAGCTGGAGAATGATTAAGGATGACAGAAGAATTGATACCTTTGAAGGGGTGGTGCTGGAGAAGAGTCTTAAACATATCATAGACCACCTTGAAAGCAAATAGGCCTGTCTTGGAAAGGGTGAAACCAAGTTTCTCCTTGGAGACTAGAATTTTTAAGTTCTTTCTCACATACTTGAGGCACATATCCAGGAGAGACTGGTCCTTGGAGAAGAACATAATGCTCAGAGAGGTAGAGGAACAGCGCAGGAGAGGAAGACTCCAGATGAAATGGATTGATACAGTAACTAGGGTAATGGGATTAAGTGTGTTGCAGTATGTGAGACTGATGCAGGGCAGGTCAGGCTTCAGATCTGTTGTACATAGGGTCACCATGAGTCACAAGTGACTCAATGTACAAAACAACAAATAGCCTGCTACTTCTTCTTCTCCTGTGTTGTATATCAGGATATTGACAGAACATTTTCTCCTTCCTACATCATTCTGCGAGAGTGATCAGCTGGCCCAGTGGACTGAAAGTGATGCAATCAAGCCAAATGTGGGTGACTTTTAATCCGCGGCCCTCAGTCTTGTCTTTCATTGTTTTTGTTCAAACATTCCTCTAGGTAGTATAGCCCTGGTGTGTCCACTTGCCGTACAGCAGTAACTTGTGGTTGCTGTGAGACATTTGGTGTGTCAAATGTGTTAATGGTTAGTTACCCATGGTGGACAGTGTTGGGTGAAACTTCCTGATTAAAACAAGCTTGGAAGCAGGAACAGCATCCACTTTCATAATAGCTTGCCTCCGGAAACTCTATGAACCTGGAGAGAGGATGAAAGATAAGCAAGCATTGAGGACTCTCCTTCATAGGGTCACTATGAGTCACCTGTGACTTGATGGCACTTAACAACAACATCCTGTAAAATGTCTCTTCACTGCTCTGATTTGGGAAACTAGCACCAAACTCTGGATCATGCAAAGTGATTTGGTTTTTTTCCCACATGAAGGCACCACAATTAGTGGGAAAGGAGTGCCTCTTCACTAACTACTATACAGAATTCCTGACCCTGCCTACTTATTTACTTTGGTTTTTTGCTACTTACGTCAATGTCAGATCTCATGAATTCTCACTAACCACACTCATGACCTCATAATTCACCATAGCCACTTGTTCCTACAAGGTAGCTATTGCTCACTTCCACCTTCCAGCATGCTCTGCTTCACCTTAAAAAACTGTCTTTGCTGAATATAAGTTGACTGTAGAAAATTGGATCCATTTCTGGGTTCTCAATTAATGTTCCATTGGTCTATGTGCATGTCATTATATCAGTATCATTCTGTTTTGGTTACTAATGCTGTGTATGAAGTTTTGAGGTCAGGGTGTGGTATTTCTCACACTTCACTTTTGTTTTTCAGAAGAGCTTTGCTTATTCAGGATCTCATTCTTCTCCAAATAAACTTAACATTTTCCCTTTTGTTCTCCTTGAAAAATAAATTTGGTATCTGTATTGGGATTGCATGCAGATTGCTTTCAGTAGGATTATAATTTTCACAATATTGAGTCTTCCTATCCATAAATAGGGCACATTTTTTCCATTTATTTAAGTCTTTTATTGGGTCTTGCAAAAATGTTCTGTAGGTTTCTTTGTATAGGTCTTTTGTTTCTCTAGTTAGCTTCACTCTCAAGTATACTTTCTTGGTTTCCTTCTCTGAGTTCTTTTTGTTACTATAGAGAAATCCCACTAGTTTTTTTATATTGTTCTTGTATCCTGTCAGTCTACTAAACTGATATTCAACAAGTAAATAAAAGCTATCAAATGGGGAAAGAACAACCTCTTCAACAAATGGTGCTGGCAAAACTGGACTGCTAACTGCAGAAAGCTGAAACAGGATCCACATCTCACACCATACACAAAAATCAACTTGAGGTTG